TCCTCCCAATCCAGCTCCATCTGCCACGGCAGAGCTAAGCCTGAGTGGCCTGGGGGGTGATGTGAAGCAGGCGTTTACCGGACAGCCCTCGGCCTCGGCTGCACTCACGCGGTCACTGAGGAATGACCTACTGGTGGCTGCTGATTCAGTGACCAATGCCATGTCGTCTTTGGTAAAGGAGCTGCATTCGGGTGTGTATGGGAGGGCTGTATCGGTATGTGTGTTGTCAAATGAAATCGCTGTAATCAGTTGTGTGTGTGTGTGTGTGTGTGTGTGTGTGTGTGTGTGTGTGTGTGTGTGTTGGGGGAGGGGGCTTGATAAATACCTCTACATGTATGTAAAGACAGAAATAAAGAAAGGTAACGATTTATTAGTTCTCTTCTAAGAAATCACTGTGAGATTATATTCGTTTAGTAAGAGTTTTACGACGCTCGCAACTGCATAAAACAGTGAGATTACTAAACCCTTTCCCCCACAGAGCCACTATGGACGATTATAATTAACGATATTATGTCTCCTTTAAAACACATTTTTGGGGGTGGCATTTATGCCCATTATCTATGAGGGTCTTTTCCGGAGGACATCACCTTCGTGTGTCCAAAACCCTTTTCTTCATTTTGATTATCCCAACTGAAATGCAACCAAAACCGAAAAGAACGCCATGCTACCCTCTTTAAAAAAAAGCTCTGCCTTTTAGAATGTGAAAATCATGTTGTTTCACACCTAACGTTGAATTCGTCTGGAAGCATAGAGTAAGATCTAAATTATTTATCGTCTTTATTCTATTTTAGCAAAAAGACTATTTTTTGACTCCATTCCTCTGTTTAGGTGAACATGTTTTGTCGGTGATGTTTTTCTTTCTTTCTTTTTTTACAAGTCGTGATCCTTCAAGACTGACTGTTTGAAGAACCGAATCGTTATGGAAAAAAAAGGGGGGGTGGGGGAGAGACAATGACATGTATTCTGGAAATCCATAGAAGGAAACCATTAATTTAACTTTCAGTCAGAATGATATCATTTTCTGAAAGATACTAAGACGGTCATTTTTTAATTAGTTTTTTTCCTGTAATTTTTTCGTCAATACAATATTATTGCAAACGAATCAATATAGTTTATAATATTTATTTCAGTTCTGTTTGATGACATGGTTTTACTACTAAATCAACTTTGTGCGCTTTACAATTAAAGAAACTATGCAAATTTTGATTTCACATTATTTATAAGCACATAATGCTATATTTTTACAATCAAACTGATTTACAAATTTTACATTCTATGCTTGGAATCAAGTACAAAATATCACAATGAGCAAGGTATGGACTCAAGACCCACTATTTCCAGTGTGCGACAAACAATGAGCCAAATTGTTATACATTATTATAGTTCAACATCCTTGAATTATCTGTGAAAAGTAACGTCAAAAGTTCTCTCCGATAACAGATTACACGTACCTGAGAAATTCCTGTCAATCATGAATGTTGTTAATGTTGTTGTTATCATTGCTATTCTTCTTCTTTTATTATTATTATTATTATTATT